TGTGCTTATCTTGCATAAAATAAAAAATATGTATATATTTGTGCATTTTGTCTTGCGTATATTCAACATTTATGTTTTGCAAAATATAAAAATTTATTTATAAATCAAGTGATTTCGGAGTATTAATGGAGTCAGAAGATCATGTGTCTGCGCCCTCAATTAGTGGTGATGCTGGGACTTTTGGATAGTGATGGTGTTGGCAGTAATAATGCGGGTAAGTTTTTGTCTTTACTATGGTTCTATTTTTTAATTCTGTATTAATTTTTAAATCTTGATTCAGGCGAAAGCCCTAAACATCTGTACCAGGATGGTGGTGGTGTTGGCAGTAATAACGCGGGTAAGTTTTTATTTGTTATGATTTTAATTTTTTAGACTATATTAATTTTCTACTTTTTATTTTAGGAAAACGTTCTAAACAGCAGTATTATGGCAGTAATAATGCGGGTAAGCTTTTTTTTGGTTATGTAAGTTTTTTTTTTTAATTTAATTTAATTTAATTCTCGATTTAGACAAAAGCCACGGACAACTGTATCTGAATTATAGCGGTGGTAGTAATGCGGATGAGTTTTTACTTATTTTTCTTTATTATTTTTTTTATACTATATTAACTTTAATTCCTGATTCAGGCAAAAAAAGCCTTGAACAATTGTACCAAAATGGCAGAGCTAGTAATAATAGGGGCAACAGCCCTGAACAATCGTACTGGGATGGCAGCAGTAGTAATATTGGGGGCAAAAGCTCCGAACAATTGTACCGGGATGGCAGTAGTAATATTGGGGGCAAAAGCCCTGAACAATTGTATCGGAGTGGCAGTAATAATAGCAGGGTCGAAAGCCCTGAACAATTGTACCGGGATGGCAATATTAATAATAGAGTTGATAGCCTTGAACAATTGTACCGAGATAACGGTAATGATAGTAATTCGGGTAAGTCTTCATCTTAATTGTAGATTTTTTTTTTTTTATTCTTGTATTTCATTGATTTTAATTCTCGATTCAAGCAAAAGCCCTGAACAATTGAACCGGGATTGTGGTGGTAGTAATATGGGTAAATCTTCATCTTAATTGTGGTTTTTTTTTATCTTGTATTTCATTGATTTTAATTTTCGATTCAGGCAAAAGCCCTGAACAATTGTACCGGGATGGCAGTGGTAGTAATACAGATAAGTCTTAATCTTAATTGTGGGTCTTTTTTTTTTATTTGTATTTCATTAATTTTAATTTTCGATTTAGGCAAAAGCCCTGAACAATTGTATCGGGATGGCGGTGGTAATAATATGGGTAAGTCTTAATCTTAATTGTAGGTCTTTTTTTTTATTTGTATTTCATTGATTTTAATTTTCGATTTAGGCAAAAGCCCTGAACAATTGTACTGGGATGGCGGTGGTAGTAATGCGGGTAAGTCTTCATCTTAATTATGGATTTTATTTTATTTTATTTCTTGTACTTCACTGATTTTAATTTTTGATTCAGGCAAAAGCCCTGAACAATTGTACCGGGATGACAGCGATAGTAGTAATACTGGTAAATTTCTTTTTATTGCGGTTTTTCCTTTATTTTGTTTATTTATTATTT